TGCGGCAAGTGCAGCCAGGCTGATGGCCGAGTGCTGTGATGTGCCGAGTGTGGGCACTCCGGGCACTCCAAGCCCGGACTGCTTTGCAAGCGGGGAACCCCTGAGAACTGTCTGTCTGGGGTGGGGGTCGGGACCCTTTAAGCACAGCCCTCCACTAGCCTGAGACAGCATCTCCACGCTCTAAGTCCTCCTCTGATGCCCTGCCGGCACTGCTTCCGGCCATCCTTAAGCCCTGTTCAGGGTCCACTTAATGTGGACGCGCTAGTTCGAATTAGCAAAACGCTAATTCGAACTAGTTTTTTAGTCTAGATCCGTTAGTTCGAATTAGCTTAGTTCAAATTAACTAATTCGAACTAAGTTAGTTTGAATTAACGTTGTAGTGTAGACATACCCAGTCTTATTAATCTCTCCTCCTATGGCAGCCATTCCATACCCCCTAATATTTTTGTTGCCCTTTTCTGAATTTTTTCCAGTGCCAAGATATCTTTTTGAGGTGCGGTGCCAATTTCTGCATGCAATTGTCAAGATGTGGGTGTATTATGCATTTATATAGTGGAATTAAGACACTTAATAACCGCCAACCTTTTTAACTACAAGATCACTTTTTCAATTTAAGTGCAATGTAAGATCTACTTCAAACCCAAATACCCCTGCCCGGCTTCCTTCCCAACCCTTCCCTGAGGCCCCATCCCTGGTCTACCCCTTCTCCAAGGCCTCACCCTGCTCACTCTATCCCCCTTCATCTCCCATTCTTATTCACTTTCACCAGGCTGGAGGAGGGGGTCGGAGTGCAGGCTCTGGTCTTGGGCTAAGGGGTTTGGAGTGTGGAAGAGGCTCTGAGTTTAGCCCAGGGTGGGGGATTGGAGTCCAGGAGGGGTTTCAGGATGCAAGCTCTGGGAAGAAGGTTGGGTGCAGGAGGCGGTTCAGGGCTGGGACAGGGGTACAGGAAGCAGGCTCTGGCTGGGCACCGTTTAACTGAGACTGCTTCCAGGAGGTGAAGCAGTGGGGTAAAGGCAGGTTTACTGTTGTCCTGGCCTTGCACCACTCTTGAAAGCAGCTGGCATGGACAGCAATGGCTCCATGGCACCATCTGCTGCCCCTCATCGACAGGCCCTGAGCCCACAGCTGCTACTGGCCACAGTTCCCTGTTATTGATCAATGAGAGCTGTAGAGTGGTGTCTGCAGGGAAGGGCAGCATGTAGAGATCTGCTCTGCCTTTCCAGGAGCAGCAATTACCACAGAGATAATGACTCCATCCAAGACTGATTAGGCATTTTAGAACTCACTATTCAAAGCAGAAGAGAGAAATGAAAATGATGAAATGCACAGACCAAACAAAAACCAAAGATAACCCTTCTTTTACTGCTTGTAAAGTGTAATAACAACCCACATACGTGTTGGATTGGGAGAGGAGAGGGAAAGATAGTGTGTGTTTGTGAGAATGACAGAGACACACACACAGGGTGTGAGAGTGACAGAGATTTGCATTGCCAAGTTCCCTCCCTCCCCTTCTCTCTGTGTGGAGATGGGGTACAGAAGAAGGAGGGACCCCAGACATTAGTGTCCCCACTCCCTTGTCCCTCCCACATTCTGCACAGCAAGCAGGAGGCTCCCAAGAGGGCAGCTTCAAGGCAGAGAGCAGGAGCAGCAAGACAATGGGTTGAGAGGCAACTGAAGTGCCAGCGCTTGGTAGCTTCCTGGCCAAACCAGTCCGGATCCTCTGTCAGGGACTCCAAGATCTACTGGTTGGTGACCACTGCATTGAGATATCTTTTCTTGGCTAGGTCTAGACTGCAAGCCTCTTTCAAAAGAGGCTTTTTAGAAAGATACTTTAGAAAAAGCCTCTTTCAAAAAAGAGCGTCTATACTACAACCAGTACTTTTGAAAAAGCGAGTGTGTATATGGATGCTCAAATGCTCATTGCATTATCTCTGTGTACCCGCTGGGGTGGAGTGTTTGTACCTTGGCTAACCATTGCAAAGACAGAAGAGTGAATCTTGCAGCGGTGCATGTCGGGGTTCCCAAATTTACAGTAATTCTAACAACACAGAATCTGGGCTTGGGACCTA